AAAAAAGTATAAATAGGACACCATTACCGGGAGATACATTCATTTGAATACGAACTGTCGAAGAGAAAACATCAAAATGAAGAAAAATGAAATAAGAGCTGTCATCAAGTACCTCTGCCTGAAAAAAATGTCTACCAAAGACATACACAGCGACTTAGAGGAAACATTGGGGGAGTCTGCTCCTCCATATTCCACAGTCGCACGCTGGGCAAAGGAATTTAAGCTGGGCAGAACCTCCACTGAAGATGAACATCGCGAGGGACGCCCTTCCACGTCCCTTACTGGAGAAAACGTCAAAAAAGTGGAAGATATCGTGTTGGCCGATCGAAGGGTGACCGTAAGGCATGTAGCTGAGGTCACAGGGATCTCCTATGGCAGCGTTCAAAAAATCATTGTCAACAAAATGCATATGAAAAAGGTCTCTGCGCGTTGGGTACCGAGAATGTTAACCGACGAGCAAAAAAAGAAACGAGTCGACATTTCGAGGGTGAATCTTCAAAAGTTCCAGGCCGATAAAGAATTTTTTTGTCGCGTTTTGTGACCATGGACGAGACCTGGATCCATCACTTTGATCCCGAAACCAAACAACAATCAATGACTTGGAAACGAGCTTCCTCACCAACGGCGAAGAAATTCGAAGTGTCAAGTTCAGCGGGAAAGGTTATGGCGTCTGTTTTCTGGGATGCAGAAGGAATTATTATGGTGGAATATTTGAAAAAGGGGGCCACTATAACAGGCTCTTACTACGCAGGCCAAATAAGAAGATTGCGAGAAGCTATTAAGTCAAAAAGACGCGGTAAACTGCGCGCTGGAGTGCTGTTTCACCAAGGCAACGCCCCGGCTCACAAAGCCGCAGTTGCGATGGCTGCCATTGAAGAAACGGGGTTCGAACTGCTCGAACACCCTCCCTATTCGCCAGATCTAGCTCCCAGTGACTTCTACCTCTTTCCTCGGCTCAAAGAACACCTCCGGGGCAACAAATTTGAGGACAATAGTGAAGTGATGGCCGCAGTAGAGGCATTTTGGGAGGGTCAAGACAAATAATTTTTTTCTAAGGGAATCATGGGCTTAGAAAAAAGATACACTAAATGTATTAACTTGCAAGGAGACTATGTTGAAAAATAAAATACTTTTTTTAATCTAATAGTTCTGTTTCATATTGATTATCATTACTTATTGATCACCCCTCGTATATATAGAGCTAGATAAAACCGAACCTCCTAACCATCGTGTAATAAAATCGATTTTTAAATGGCTGATCAACTAAAAAATTAAGTAATCATATGTCCTTATTATCTCAAGTATTATTCTGAGTTGCACAAAGCATGATTAGGCACTTTAATTTAATCATCGGATCAGTTCACAGAGTTGTCAGTTTTTAACAGCAAAAACTAATATCTGAATTTAGTTACTGCAATTTTGTGATATTGATATTTCAAAATCTCTGACACTAGCATGAAATACTCCGAATCACCTCTTCCCTGATTGGTGTCATAGATTTGTACCCCGTGACTTTGTTTTTTTTTAAACCGGTCAGCTAATTAATATGTGGAGTAATGGGGTGACACCCAAACAGGGTCTAAAATTACAAAGCGGCCTTTAAGAAACACATCCGTCACGTTAAACGTGTTTTGTATTAAGAATTATATAACAACCCTGATAAAGTTCAAACGAGGTTGCAGGGTCAAAACGGTCTTTAACCCTGACTTGTGTAACAGTTGAAAGACCTTGGGGTCCCCGACGCTCTAAGGACGTAAGGACTCGTTCGAACGGGTGGGGTCATACTGGTAAATCGATTTCGTGTGTCTGGCGTCCATTTTCCGTTTATGACCTTTGTTTTATTTTAACAAACATCCTGTGTAATCCTTACGAACCTCGTAATCAGCATAAAACATGGAGGAAAAACTGACCTTTTTCTTTTCGTGTAATTAGGCATACAGAAGATATCTTTTTGTTTACGTTTAAATCGTATCTTGAAAATTTGACTAGGATTAGTTTCCAATTAACACATCGAATATTCTAAGCGATTGCTAGAACAATTTGACTGTATTTACTTTTTACTACAAATCATGGTTACAGTTTCACACTTGATTGCCACAGCCGTGAGACATTCATTCATCTTATTGCTGTTTTATAATGTCGTTTTTTAATGTGGGAATGGGATTTTTTTTTATTTCTCTATTTAAGACTCAGTAAACGTCCTTATAGACTTCTACCGTTACCGGACTCTAATCTCCAGAGGTGACGTCACCTCTATAGTTTAGAGTCCATTCGTTCGACTCAGAGACACCGTTCTCACAAAAGCAGTTGAAGTTCGAATGGAACTGCGTCTGTTGGATCAACTAGATCCAAATCAAATTATATAAACTATTTAGAAATTAAATATAACTATTAAATTGTATTTGAGATATTACCAGCGTGTTTTAATAGTTAGTCTGTGAAAGCCTCGAATAATGAAACTGTACAATAGATCATATTTTTTCGGCCTTTTTTAAATTAAATATATGGAATTGTTAGTCAAAATCGAATAATTATTTTTCTATTGGACAGAATATTAACTAGGACAGAGTTAAGGCTATGTAACATCACGCCTCCACCTTTAGAAGTAGAGCAACAATTAGAGACTCAGATAAAAATGTAACGGAGACGGATAATAAACTATATATCGTTATTTGATACATGATTCAGGTGGCAAACAAAAACGCAGATTGTCTGTTGCTAGGCAATTTAGCTTATGGATACGACACCAGCTATTTTAATCGAGTGGTGATTAACCTATTAAAAGTTATAAATAGATTTTCTACACCGGTAGCTTGAGTTTAAACCGGTACGTTCCGAAGACAGTACCGAGACGCCTAACGGTAATGCTAAAAGTAAGGCTATACTTTGAGTACTTTTTATTTCAAGACCGTTTTATTATTTTTTTAGTTACTTTCCTCAAAAAGGATTTTTTATAGCCTCATTATGTTTTAAGTCCGTCTGTCTATCTCTATAAAATTTGCTATTCGAAGCTTAGACTTAATTTAGTACTTAGGGCAAGCAGCAAGGTCTCACAGTACAAGTAAAGGAAAAAAAGACAGTGGTCTATTTTGTTGCTTAATACGACTCTGTTTATTCCTTGCCGAATACAGTCGTGAGTACATGAATGTGCGGGCATTTTACATAAGGTTTGATTTTAATTCGTCAACTAGCGTGCTCTGAATCTTTAATCTCTCTCTCTGTTGACGTATGAAGTCATAAGTCTTGTCATAATTATTCATATCAGGAGAACAATTAATTCAATTAACAGACCCTATAAATAGGATGTTACATCTCATTTGCTATGGCCGTCGTGGTCCAGTCCAAAAATAGTGTGCATTATCATACACACACAACTGACTGTGAATGTTATGTGCTAAATAAGAAGACAATAACTTAACAAGAAAACTACTAGTAATTAAAAAGCTGGTTTCAAAAAGTATTATGGTACTTTTATTATCATATTATGTATATTCATGTATATACTTATATGTTTATCAGCTGTCTGCTTACTATAGTACAGGCTCTCCAAGTTTAAAAAAAAAGTGCCGCGTGCTAATTTTTTATCAGAAGAAAAACCAAAGACTTGGTATATTGCGGATTCGATTCCCATGTCTTAATGAAAAAAATGGTTCAAAGTTCTAAAACCTATGGAACAAGCTAATCAACGTTAAAGTTTCAGAACACTATCACTATCAAAATATTGCAATCTAGGTGTTAAAACAATATTGATTATATCCAGAATAATAAGACTAATGAGTTATAAAGAAAATCAACAATTATGTTATCATAATATATGGCTAACCAATTTGTTTAATTAATAAACAATTAATTATTTAAATGAATATATTCTGGCACACGTTTAATTTTTGATTGTAAACACTTGATATAATTTAATTGAAATTAATTAAACTAGTTGCGTACTTTGACAATTTGAATATTATTATAATTGTATTTTTTTACTAACCGGTTTTTTAAAGTTTATTTCTTCAAGGGCTTTTTTAATTATAAGTTGTTTATTATTTTTTCATTAAGTCTAAGTGGTCCATTTATTTAATAGCAATAGCCAATTAGATTCATTTATCTAGTTCTTATAGTGATATAATACGCTCATAGATGGAATAGCGAGACGTACATATATCTATTTATGTAAAAAGAATTACAAATTTGCGATACTGACAGTCTATGTAACACTATACAGACCTTTGATGTTTATCGTGTTCTGTTTCAATATTCCTTGTATTTTTAGTTTTATATGATAAATAAGTAAAAAAAAGTTACAGGTATGCGTCCTTGAGCTATTGCTTACAAACCAATTCATCTGTATTAGCAATCTTCTTTTCCTGTCATTACCGTCTCTCTTATCTACCTTTAAAATTTTGCCACCTAATCCTTAATATATCCGGTGACTAAAATTATACAATTGATAAAATATGAGCGTTTATTACGCATATACCTGAGGTGCTTGCTGTACATTGCAAAGTTAAGTCATCTTAGCCAGGTCAGGGTATGGATGGGTGACCATTCTTAAAACATTGAGACCTCTCCGTGCTATGGAGAGCACGTTGCCGGTTGCCATACGAATATAGCAATCGTTACGGGGAGTTCGAGCCCTAAAAAGTCCGAAAACAGTCTTTCTACAGAATTTAGATATCGTCTAGTACTAGGGTCTCATGACAGTCAGTCAGTTCAGCCGTATCGTAGTAGACCTAAAGCCGTCCCCAACCTAGTTTGGGAAAAAGGCTCGGAAGAAGAATTACGCTTCTGCCTACCCCTTCGGAAATATAAACATGAATGTATGATCTCAGTATTAAACCGTAGTTTTTGTTTGTTTCAAGTTGTAACAAATGTATGCGTTTGCTAACGCGTTGTGAGTATATTGAACTGTGATATTAAATCTTCCGTATAGCAACAACATTCAAAGTAGCATTTTTGTTGTTCTAACCTTCAAGATAGATTATATGAATATGTATCTTACTCACCAAGAATAAGATGTAATTTCGCGTCAGTCTGGAAAGCATAGTGTAGCGTCACCAAGAAGGGGCACGCCCTTACTGCCTCTAGGACCTGTTGAATACATACGATTTAGAAAAAGAAAGATTGATGGGAGTTAAATTTCCTACTTGTTAGAATTCTAATATAAAGGAACCAAATTGAGTCCTTGGGGAACAACAACATAGAGAATGTTTTTAAATGCAATATATATTTTATATCTTACATTTCAGTTAGTCATAATCATTGAAAATATTTACAGTATTCTTTTCGGGAATAAAAAGTGCGTAGGCAATGAAATGATACTAATAAATTGATCAAAGTTGTATAGTTTTTACGTCTCAATAGCTTGCGGTTGGTCCATCATTACAATTACAGTAAGGTCACATCATATTAACATCGATTGTTTATTAAAATTATATGCCATCTCATTGGCCTACTGTCAGCTGATATTGTTTCATTATTTCGCTGGTATTGGACAAATTCACTTTTACTTACTTGTCTTTCAGTCCTTGTGTGCTCCGCAGTCTTAAGTTTTTGCACTATTGATGCTTTTTTCAACACCTTCATAGCATACAACTTTCCTTCGTCGACACCACATCTTTTCCTAACTAGAAATACTTTGCCGTAAGCTGTAACAAAAGAAAGAATATATATATTAGATAGGTGCACATAGAGAGATTTTTTTTTATTTCATATTGCATAAGCAAACATAATAAATGTTCTTAGGCGACTTAATAGCTTTTATGCTGAATCAACAACTTCCTTTGTTCTATACAACACAATAATAATAAATAATAGAATTTCCTTTTATCCTTCTCGATTGGTACGAAAAAAATACAAGCAATCACGTCACCAAGGTCCACTCTAATGTTGCTAGAAAAGGTTCATAAACATTGGCTTTTAATGGGTCTCAACGTGTAACAAGTGGGTCGTGTCAGAACAAAAGTGTGATTACAATGATAGTTATAGTATTTAAAACATTGTGGGGTTCGTACATGCATAAGTCTTATAAGATTTTTTTAGTACATATAAACGAGATTATGAATAATTGTTTATATAACTAATTTAAGATTATGTAAGCGTTTACATGATATAATACTCCTATATTAAAATTAGTTAACTAAATAAGAATAAGAAACCATTTATTATAATAAAGGTTTGCAAACTCAAAAGTATTACTCTGTTCTTCGAGCTATTCAAAATTTCAATAGTTTCCATTACTTATGTAAAAGAGAAAAGGAACAGTTGCAAAAGGTAATGTGAATGAAAGATATACATGAAAAGAAACCTGACCGTGAAACTGTAACACCAAGTGAAGCTGTCACAAAATTTACAAAAGCAGATCACTTTGTTTCTCCGATTTACGAAGAACGAAAAGCCATTGTTCGACCAGTTTATTGGTAAAAAAAAAATGCGTAAACATGCCGAAGCAGTTTCCTTTCCGTTTTTAACAATGTTGTTATGGGAAGTGGGCAGGTAAGGATAACAATAGCTGTAATGCAAAACAATGATTAGGTAGGCGAGCAGTATCTTTGGATAGGCGATGGAGGAAACCACAATAAGGTGATTTTTCAGGACTGTGAGAGAACCAGAAAGTAATTAAATACAATTTCTATGAACTAGTCGGCACAACGACCTTTGACTTCCTTGGATTCAGCTTATAGTATTGCCTACGTTGAGAATTTAGGTTATTTTTTTTTAGAAGTTCAAATTTTGATGAAACTATTTTTTTATTGTGTCACCTTCTTGGCTCATGATCATACCAGGGTTGGCAATGAAGTGGTAGGTATTTTGAAATAGAAGCATATAAAACCTTATGTTGTTTACATTACAGGCGGAGGATAAATCACAAATATTTACTCGTATATTAAAAAAAACTCACTGTTAAGCAAACGAAAATGTACCAACAGGTTTCGAATAGAAAGAGTAAAGGAATATTATTACAATATTCAGAAGTTATCTTAAGTCAAATACTACTTTAAGCACAAAAAAGTATGCAGCACAATTTTCAGCAGCAATGGCTTCATTAGAATGTCGTTGATCCAGTTATATTGAACGAGGTGGACGCATTCAGACCACCAACGACATAACACTAACGTGTTAATGTCATATTTTAACCCGTTTTATCAGTTATTAAAATAGCATAATTATGCTATACCCAATTACTTATACAATTATATGTAACTTAGGTTAAAACTATGTCAATAATAATTATGTAATTGCAGAATGATAAATAGCTTAAAGTAGGTAAAGTTTAGTAAAGTATATATTTAGAACTAAACCGGAATTGTGGTTGAAATGAGTCGATACAAAATTATCAGCAGCAATTTTAATATGATTGTGTCAATATTTAAAAAATATTTATTTATTCCTGAAATGACCAAATGATGGCAAAAGCGTAAGAGAGATTAAAATTATAATCGCTGGGTTTTAGTCATATTCCTACTTTATAGTAGAAACATTAAATGTTCTACTAGTTTTATGGTAAAATATATCTTTTTTAAAGCCTATTTTATACAGTGTCAATGGTCCTCGAGGGTCAACGTTTCCATGACGTCGTGATCAGGTGTTTCCTCACATGGTGGTGGGCCTTTTGTTTGCGGTAGCCACTCAGTATCTACACCGGACGTATTCAGTTACCGTGGAACAGCTGCCGGGTGGGAGCATGGTGACTTAATGGCGGTGACGAGTACAATATTGAAATAGGCAACTATATTATGTCGAACTTTGAAATCGAGATGTCTTGTGATTTTTATGTGACTAGAAAATCGTAAGTTCTAATAATCCTTGATGATTGTTGCAGTTAAATGCACTGCCGTGCTATCGAAGTCTATAATAGCTATGAGATTCATTTATGTCCTCAGACCGAATGCAACTAAATAATTTAAGTCAAAACAAGTCACAAGTATTTAAAATAGCAAGATATCTCCATGAATACTTTCCATCCAGAACAAATACTTTTTACGCTAACGGGACAGCAGGAGAAAGCCAGCATTTAATATTTAACAGTAATTTAAAATCGTTACGTAAGCAACAAGTTTCTCGTCAAGCAACCCGCTGAATGTCTACTCTACATTTACTGGTAAATTCGCAGATAAACTGTTCTTCGCATACTGTATTAACTGGTTAAATAGTTCTTGTTGTCATATGCCAATGACTATTTTTATAAAGAGGCCCATCAATGCGCTCATCTCTCTTCAAAGGTTTGTTGGACAAGCACTGTTCTGTCAGTGTCGTTCAGTTATTTAATATACGATTTTGAAATATATTGAAATAACGACAAAGTTTTTTTCTTTTAAATAGAGGCGTTGAAGGAGAAGTGAAAACAAATTTAGACTTTATAAATAGAGTTTGTTAACTTCATTTTGAACAACAAGTGTTGTTGTTGCTTTAATTTTACAAACACTATATTGTTTTGAGGTGTATTTTATAGATGTTTTCTTAATACAATTTGTGAACAAGGCAGTTTGTCAACAGTATGGATGATTTCTTCACCATTTCCCGCGAGTACAGCTGAATAAATTTGGATGAAATTTAGTTAACAGATAGTTTAGTAAATGGCTTAACACGTGGCATAACGAATAGTAGTGACTATAAGTTATTCGATAGTAACTGAGTTAGCTAAAACTAATTGAAAAGATTCTTATAGGTGTTCATTACTTCGATGAAAACCTTGTTTCTTTGAAAGAATGAGAATTTATTGCAGGAACACAATACTCTTCAATGGATTCTTTGTATCCAAGGTGTGATTAGAGACATCAGTTAATTTAACAGATATTAAAGTTGTTAAAACTGGTTACACCGTTTAAGTCTGTAAGTGGAATTCGAACGTCCGTTACTATTCCTAACTGTTAGCAGTTCTTTTAAAAGATTTATTGAGGCAGGCATATTAAAAAGCGAAAGTAATTTTATCTAACACATAATTGTTAAAAATTTATCAAAAGAATATAAAAATAATATTTTTATAAGTTAATTGAAAAGGTGTATCAAACAAGAATTGCATTCCCACTCATTAAAAATACATACGAGTTAAAATTAGCTTTCTTACAATGACATTAAAATGACGTATCCAGTTCTTTTCTGTACCGCCGCCAAATGTACAGAAAATTTCACAGCGATCGGTTGAATTGTAAAACATAACAATTTCTTGAAATAAATCAATAGTAGATAACAAAGACACATCTCAAAACATGTGGTCTGATCTCAAAATAGGCTGAGCCTGTACTATAGTGATCAAATTGCTGATAAATATACTAGTCCTGCATGGAAATCACAACCAAGACCTGCGGCTCAGGACTACTAAACCACTATACGAACCAGCCAGTCCGGGATTAAAATTCCACCTTACCTAGCAAAACATAATGAAAACCTTATCAAATAAAATAAAAAACAACATCATAAACATAAAATCGTAAACATCCCAGGTTCGAATGCATAAACGACCTAGAAAGGTCATCGCTCCTCTCAATTTGTAAATAGCCGTATTACTCCGAAAATATACTCAATGATGTTTTAACTCTTTGTTCCTAATGATAGTATATTAATCATATTCTGCAACTGGAACATTTTAATTGTTTTACGGAAAAATAACAACATTCATTTATAAATGTGTTTTTGAGCAATATTTCTGGCAAATCTGCCTTTTTATACGCGGAGTCAAAAACACGTAAAAACAAACTACATAGTCTACCATCATCTTTATAATAACCCATCCTTTTCTCCAGGTTTGTCATCTTTAATTTTTTAAGGAGATTTACAAAATCTGTTATAGGGTGAATGGTAAACATTACCTGCGGATTCGCTAGGTTGGGCCATCTTTTAATCTAGTTAGCAAACTGTTTCTCCAGTTTATCCTAATCTGTTTAGCCATTTTTGTGTGAGTACCAAGATCAATACGAGTAAACATATTAATATATAAAAATATTTGCTTTAATACCCTAAATTTTGACGTAAATATGCGATTGAGGACACAAATAGATCTGGATCATTAAATCTGGGACATATTAAAACGCCGTACTCGAAGGTATTTATAAAACTCGGTTAATGAAGCGGGTAAATGTTTCAGTAAAGTGAGTTAAACAAATTATACACAATCAATTAAGTATTAGGTGCGATTAGTAACAAATCAACATATTTTATATAGCACAAATAGGAAGTAATTATGTTGTAAAAACCATATTTGAAGTTATATATATATATCGTGTCAAAATTTGAGGTCAATCGGTGCAGAACTCATGAGTTTTTGAAGCATATACAAACCAACTTAACATTTATATACATTTAAATATTAAAACGTAAATATAGCTAATTGTACACATTAAATTAAGAAAGTTCGCTAATGGAGAAATGTGAAGATTGGAATAAGTGTATATCACACTAAGAATTTAAGTAACTTAAAATGCAATTTCTGGGCAATGAGCAAGAAAATCGTAAAAACGAAGAATACAAAGGTGAATATGGAACAACGAAAATAACCGGAACGGAATTGGGATTGAAATTTGAAGACAAGGTATCTCTAATAAATAAAAGCACATTAGAGAAAAAAAACCAACAAAAGGTAAAAACGCTAAGCAAAAGGAGGGCCATTAGCAAATAAAATACCAATAAACTTGAGTGAACCCGAGTTACT